TTAGAGCATCATTTTAGATTAATAACCCCTGCAAGAGAGCTGCTTCTGCACTGAATGAGGGTAGCCTTTCTGAGCTCTAGTTTGACTCAGGGCACAAGCAGCTCATTAACCATCAGATGATTCAGCACTTGGTGCCTACATTTCTGCTGGCTGGTTTTCATCAGCAGACTACAGCTTTGAAGGTGAATCATTTATATGATACCATCAGACACCTGAAGAGGCACACAGGTGTCAAGTCCCTCCAGCTCCAAGCCAACTAGTTTTATGTGATACAGACTGCTCTTAAATTCTCCTCTTCACTATGCAACCTTTATAATCACATTCCCCACAAAAATTCTGACTGTTAACAGTCTGCAACTTTTTTTCTCCTACTTTTGCAGAAAGAAATCATGCACAGACAAGGTCTCAGTTCACAGAGAAATACTTGTAATAGGTCCTGAGCAGAAGAAAGACGACCTCCACATTTCAGGCTCAAAAGAAGAGAGCAGGATTTTAGTCCCACCAAAGCCACCATGGAAAAAATGCTGTCAGATGTGGTCCCTCCCTGCCCCCAACAATCCCTTCCAATTTACTCATGGCCACTAATCTCATTATAGTTCCTATAATTAAAGCACCATAATATCTGATCAAGAATATAGTATGCTGTTTAAATTAACTCACACGAAGTCTTTTAATACAAGAATGACTGCTCCAAGAGAATTACAAGATTTACAAAATAAAGCATCACAAATGAGCACAGGATCAAAACTGGATTATCAAGTTTCCTGATTTGCATGTAGAAAAAGCTGGCAGCAAGGTTTCTATAAAACTTTTACAGCTGTTTTACAGAAAAAAATGAAACAATTATATATATATCTTCAAATATTTATTGAAGAACAAACTGTTCTTTATAGATGTTAGGAAACAGCAAATGTTAGTTTGGTCTAGTCAATACTTGCTAAAAAGTGAGGAGTGAGATTGTTGTTCTGAATAGCATTTGTCAGGTTTACAGATCAGGGAGATAAAACACATATAAATCTTAGGTTCTTTACCAGTCTGCAACAAGTTAAACAGAAAAACCTACTTAAACTTTAGGTCTTCTCCTGTTTTTAAGTCAAAAGTCTTTCCTTACCTATTTGTTAATTTTCAAAGGAAATTTCCAAACAAATCCCAACCCCACCCCAGACACACAAACAGCTAAAAAGCAAAACCAGGAGCAAATTTGCCCTCTGACTTAGATGTACAAGCAGCTCAGAGAGGTTAGGAAGTCAATCACTCATTTAGTAAACCTATGAATGCACAGTTTCTGAAATAACCTGAGTTTGGTGCCACTTTAAATGGAGAGAAAGATGGGATGTGAAGGAAATGTGAATGTAATATTACACCTGTGAGATTAGGTGTCCTGGTTCTTTTCTACCCTGTCCCCAGTTTGTATGCTGGATCTAAAAGTGCAGAAACCCACAGCTGAACAGGAAACAGTTCTTCCACACTTCTGACCCTAAACTCACTCAACATACCTAAGAACCCATGGAGACTGCCCCATCCTGAAACAACACTGGCCTTTCAAACAAGCACACTCTTCAGCCTCATCCACTTTATGTTCATGATTAAGCATAACAAAGAACAGCTCTGGGCTGCATCCATTCCTAGAGACAGGGCTTGCTGGGACCTGACTCAGGCTTTGTGGGACCCCCACTAGATCCTGAGCTGTGATCAGATCACCTCTTCTATGATAACCCATCACCATCAATCACCTATCAGTTACCATATCATCAGTGAGTCCAAATGAATAAAATCATAGAATTTTTTTGTGAATGTCAGATGAACCCTCAGGGGTCTGTGAATATCAGGCTGCAGAGAGAGAATAGGTAAACTGAGGCAGAGGTAAAGTTATGCAATTTCCCCAAGTCAGGCTCCAGATCAGCCTGGGCACTCCAGGCTTGCAGGCTAAGCTTCTGCTTCAGCCATTAAATCTTTGAAAGGGATTATGCAGCAAGGTGCCAGTGATAAGGACTGGATTTGACCTCTAAGGACCTTCAGATGCGACATTCCTAAAAACAATTACCCTCATTTTCCAGCATGCTGGTAACACTATGAGCAAACTCTGCAGTTGAAGTATTTTCATCTGGCATTCTTAAAAAGAATGCTTAAAACTTCAGTTGATTTTCTGATATATAAAGGGCCCCCCAGGCAGAAATTTTGATGCTCTTATATGTTTGCACAGAAGAAAACAGAGTGCATAACAGAGTTTTTACTTTGCTACTCCATTAAGCATCATTTCAGAAAACATAATGAAACCATCGTGAAGAATACAGCTTTCCTCAGAGAGAGAACACACACAGACGTTAAAGGCAACATGAATTATTTTAAGTGCTATACTTCTGCCAACATACTCCACATTTTCATCATAAGACACCACTCCCACAGAGCGGTAGTCAGCCAGTGTCTTCTCATACAAAGGGCACAGATTGTTATTTCTCTGACAAGGAAACCAGATCTAAACAATGTATATTGCTGCTTGAGGTTTTGTTTTTCAGTTGGTTTTTGTTTGCTTTCAATTTCAGGTACATTGTTATATCAAGCTGATTGGATCCAAAATGAAAATATGCTAAAATTTTCAAACAAAACCAGCTTTTCAACACTTATTCATTTTGAACTTCTGGTAAATTTTCTTTTTAATTTGCTACACAAAGTGCAAAGTCTCAAAGATGAAAGGGGACTTGATTTCTAACCTATACTGGCTTTTCACTCATCCTTCCCAAAAATTCCTCTAATATAACTGAAATGGCAAAGCCTTTCTCTCTCCTCAGGATGACTCACAGAGTCCTTCCACAGCACAAAGGAAAGATACATCACTTCTTGTTCTTAAGAAATGTCACTTTCTTATTCTTTTGAAACGAGGTAGGGCAAGAAAATATTGGAGTGTTATTTGTTATATTTTGTTTCCTTTTTCCTTGAACAAATTTATCAAGCAACTAAAATTCTGCCTGGTCATAACAGCATCTGTAACAACATGCCCACAGAAATGCTCTGTGAATCTCACTCCTCAACATCAGTATCCTCTCCTCTGATTCTGTATTCCTGCCCCATCTTTTACCTACAGGAGTAAGTACCCATATGGCTATCTTTCAATAGCTGCTGAGATAAGCTTCATGAGCGCTCAGCAATAGTAGTGCTTCCTTGAAGAGGCAATGCCTACATCTGCATCCAACAGCTGGCCAACACTAAACCCACTTCGTAGGGCATAAATCTGCTTCCCAGGCTAGCCAGTTGTTTCAGCTACCAAGCTGCTAGATCATCCTCCAAGAGTCCAGCCTAAACCAGGCAGAAGACTTTTTTTTCAGTATGGCTTAAGATATAGATAGATATGATAGATCACATAACTCATTAGATCACTGTAAGCTGCAAGCACCTGCAGAAGTTATAGAAGACCACCCTAACATCACACCACTTGGCAATTTCCAGCTTCAATGCAAGTCAATATTCTGACCCCCACCTCAGCAGCAGATACGAAAGTGGCACAAACATACACTGACAATAAACTCCAAAAACTTATTGAGAGTTTCCAGTCCACCAATTACAAATCAATTAGTTCTGGGCTCTGTGCACAAAGTCTCAAGAAGGCTTAAGTGCTCCTGAGTTTCAGTGTTACAGGAGACACACAAAACATAACTCTGCATCTCCCATCCATCAGTTCCCATGTTAAGCTCTTCCCTGTTTAATAAACATACCAAAAGTGGTTCATAAAAACGCTAGTGGGTTTACTGTTAGCCTGAACAAATGCTACCAGCACTAGCAAATGCTACACAGGCATTTGTAACTCCGGAGGAGAGCACGTACTTGACTTCGACTACTATGTGCAATTTTCAAGCAGTGAAATGCACTCTGGTCAGAACAGGCCTGTCAACTATTTACAGAGTGCAGAGGTAGCTGTAGCCATCCATCCCATCCCTACACAAAGAGTCCAGCAGGAACACAGACTGCCCCACCACACCTCTAAACCCCAGCAGTGTAAAAACTCATTCTACCACCACACTAGCATGTCTCCACCGGGCATATCCCAAAAGTTTCTGTTGAATAAAAGCATAAAGATGCTAAGCAAAGGGTTTAGTTGGTTTTGTTTCTCCCACAACTTCCCATACACATAACTTCCCCCATTGCTCTTCGGGTTTAGGGTATGACTCCACTAGCAGCAGAAAAAACACTCAAGTGTTCTGTGATGCTAAACTAGCTACTGAAAACACTACTGAAGACATAGATTTGCTTTCAAGCTGCTGATTTCGTTTTGAAACAACAGTTCTGACTGACAAAACAGTGATGAAGATGTAAACAGCCTATGTGTGAGCCCATCTACCCAAGGTGGAAAAGTTGTGTTTTCGATTTTTTTCCTCCAAATAAGTTCTTGTTTACTGTTGTAAATACGATCCTTCACAAAGAGTCACACACACAACCCCAGACGCACACAATATTGTAATCTTTCATATATGGTATAAGACCAAACGCGATGTATTCTGAGAAGACCAGGGCGAGCGACTGCACCAAGGGCCCGAACACCCACACGTCCGAGCGGCAGCACCGGGGATGCGGGAAAAAAACCCAGGAGCCCTCCAGGAGCTGCCTCAGAGCTTACAAACTTCGCTCTGTATCACTCCCTGACCTCTCTTTAAAGGAAACTGGTGCCAGTCAGGTAACAGCAAGAGTTTCAGAATTCAAAAAGAAAATCCTTGTAAAAATAGAAAGAGCCTGAAGACAGACGTGACCAGCCCGACAGCCGCGGAACAACGCGCAGACAAGCGCTCCGGGAACGAGCAGTCATTGAATCAACAGCTCGCACGCAGGTCGCTGCCGAACGCTCTCCGTGCGGGACGGGCAAAGCTCCTGCCCGCACCTCCCCGCACCACCTCGCCCCGGCTCTGCAGCTCGGCGGGCGCGGAACCGGGCCCAGAGCAGCGCTCAGCCCGCGCCCCGGGATAGCTGCGGCCGCACAGAGCCCCTCCAGCACACCCTGGCAGCGCCCGTACCTGGGAGCTGAGGTACCGCCGCAGGCACTCCTCGCACACCGCCTTCTTGCAGCAGGACAGGGGCTTGATGGGCTTCTCCTCCAGGCACACGCGGCAGCTCAGCACCAGCAGCGGCCCGAACTCGCCGGCGATCAGCCCGGAGAAGGGCTCGGGCAGCAGGTACAAGTCCACCACCTCGATGCTGCCGCCCGACGACAGCGGGTCGTCGCCCGGCACCACCCCGCGCCGGACCGGGGGCTGCCCCGCGCCCGGGCCGCCGCGGGGGGAGCCGGTGGCGGCCGCCGGCCGGTCGTTCTCCACGCAGTAGACGGTGCAGTACACGTGCCGCCGGGGGGGGCGGCGGCGGCCGCTGCCTCCCTCCGGCCCCTCCTCCGCCGGGGCCGCCGGCTCCCCCGCGCCCGGCGGCTGCTCCGGCCCGGCCGCTGCCTCCGCCTCCTCTTCAGCCCCTCGCCGCTCGGGGTCGGCGGCGGGCGGCCCCAGCTCCCCGCCTCGCCCCAGCCCGGCTACTCCGCCGCCCGGGACCGTCTCTCGCAGCGAAGGCGGCTCGTCCGGGCCGGGCTCCCGCGGGCCCCCGGCCGGGCTCGGCGGCGCGGCGGCAGCGGCCGCCCGCGGCGCGTTCAGCGAGCTCTGCTGCTCCCCCATCGCCGCCCGCCGCCGCTCCTTCCCATCCAGCCACCTCCTGGCCCCGCTTCTGCTTCCGGGTCCCGAGCCCCGCCGCGCCGAGCCCCGCGCCGCCCGCCCGCGGGCGCCGGCCGCCGCCGCCCGGCCTCCCCCTGGAGGGGCTGCGGGGGAGGGAGCGGCGGCAGCGGCGGGTGCAGCTCCGGTCAGCGCCGCCCGCGGGGTCCCAGCCGGAGCCCGACCCCCATGCCGGGGAGGACGCGGGCAGCCGCCCCTGGTGCCGCGGGGCAGCGCGCCCGGCCGCGCCCCGCAGCCGCCCCGCCCCGCGCGTCACCGCCCCCTGCCCGCGGCGGCCGCCCCGCCGGGCGCGCCCGCCCCGCTCCGCCCCGGCCCGGTCCCGCCCGCTCTGACGCAGCTGCTCGGCTGCGCCCCTCATGGAGCCGCGAGTGGCGCGTGTGTGCGCGCACGACATCGCCCGGCACCCGCACCGGCACCGCGATGTGCTGACCCGCGCCCCGCGCCGTTCTCTCCGCCGTGTGCCGGTACCTGGGGCCGGGCCACATCCTCTTTTCTTTTGCAGGAGCAGCATTTAACCATCGCTCCTCCGAAATCGTCCTCTGCTCGAAGGCGCGAGGGGGGAGGGGGGAGGAATTTCAAAACGCCTTTATGCTTTTCGAGCAAATTGTGAGGATCCGATTAAAAATCATCCCCGAAGAAAATTCGTAGTGAGCATCAGGAGTGCTCACTAAAATTATAATGGCCAGTCTTCGCGAGCGAAGATTTGGGAAAGGTCATTAACCCTTCGAGCCTTCGCAGTGGATTTTTTAGGTGAGACACAGCGTGCGCTGAACTGAGCCCACCCTTTAATCCTGA